TTATTAGCTTTGTTTCCGATGATCCACCAGTTTGAAATTTGTTTTTTAGTTACGTATGCCTTGGTAAATAAGTTCGTGGTCAGATTATTCTAAATAAATTATGTTAATAGATTACACAGCTCTGATAAACTTTGTTTTCGTCATTGCATCATATGAGTCTAATGAATTTAATTTTATGATGTATTCTTTTGTGAGACAAAAAATATTTGTTTTTTGGACGTCAATATTAATTTCTTAATTTTTGACGGAAAATTCTCTACTTTCGAATCAAAAGGTTGAAAATCAATGACGTAAACGCTTATTGGAAAGTCGGATAAATAGGCTAATTTTCAAGCTGCCGCAGCTAGTTAAGCTTAAAATCATAGACATAAGAAACGATTTTATGAACAGTATATGTTAAGGATTCAACACAAAATCTACAATTGAAACTGTACGCTTGTCTTCTAATCCAAATACTATATTTGTGATTTGACTGACAGTTATCTCCAAAAGATAATCATATGAATACTTACTTACGCCTGTTACTCCCAATGGAGCATAGGCCAACGACCAGCATTCTCTATCCCACTCTGTCCTGGGCCTCCTTTTCTAATTCCATCCAATTCTTGTTCATCTTTTTCATGTCTATTTCCATTTCTCGGCGTAATGTGTTCTTTGGTCTTCTTCTTTTCCTTTGGCCTTGAGGATTCCATGTGAGGGCTTGTCTTGTGACGCAGTTGGGTGCTTTCCTCAATGTGTGTCCTATCCACTTCCAGCGCTTCTTCTTGATTTCTTCCTCCTCTGGTATCTGGTTTGTTCTTTCCCATAATAGGTTGTTTCTAATAGTGTCTGGCCAACAGATCCGAAGTACTTTGTGTAGATAACGGTTAATAAACACCTGTATCTTCTGGATGATGATTTTCGGAGTTCTCCAGGTTTCCGTCCCATACAGTAGAACTGTCTTGACATTTGTATTGAAAATCCTGACCTTAGTGTTGGTTGACAGTTGTTTTGAGTTCCAGATAATCTTCAGTTGTAAATATGCTGCTCCTGCTTTGCCGATCCGCGCATTCACATCTGCATCAGATCCACCCTGTTCATCAATGATGCTGTTCAGATATGTAAAGGTTTTTACATCTTCCAGATCTTCTCCGTCAAGTGTGATTCGATTGTTGCATGCTGTGTTTTATCAAAGAATCTTGCTCTTCCCTTTGTGTATGTTGAGACCTACTGGTGCTGAGGCTGCTGCTACACTGTTCGTCTTCTCCTGCACTTGTTGTTGCGTGTGTGATAGAAGGGCCAGATCATCTGCAAAGTCTAGATCGTCCAACTGCATCCTAGATGTCCATTGTATCCCGTGCTTCCCTTCAGATGTTGACGTCTTCATGATCCAGTCGATCACCAGGAGAAAGAGGAGGGGTGAGAGTAAGCAACCTTGCCTAACACCGGTCTTCACTTCGAACGATTTTGTCAACTGTCCTCCATGCACGATTTTGCAGTGTAATCCATCATATGAACTCTGTATGATATTGACTATCTTCTGAGGCACGCCGTAGTGTCGAAGAAGCTTCCATAGTGTTGTTCTGTCCACGCTATCAAATGCCTTTTCGTAGTCAATGAAGTTGATGTAGAGTGATGAATTCCATTCAATCGATTGTTCCACAATGATCCGTAGAGTTGCGATTTGGTCTGTACACAATTGATACTTACGGAATTCAGCCTGTTGATCTCGAAGTTGGGCGTCTACGGTGTCCTTCATTCTGTTTGACAATACCCTGTTGAAGACTTTTCCTGGTATTGAGAGAAGAGTAATGCCTCTGTAGTTATCACAGTTGCTGAGATCGCCTTTCCTCGATATTTTGGTCAGAAGGCCTTCTTTCCAGTCTCTTGGTACTTGTTCTTCATCCCAAATCCTGCTGAAGAGGATATGGAGTGCCCTTGCAGTTACTGCTACATCTGCTTTCAGTGCCTCTGCTGGAATGTTTTCTGGTCCTGCTGCTTTGCCACTCTTGATTTGTCTGATGGCCATGCTGGTTTCTTCAATTGTTGGTGGGCCAACGTTGATTGGGAGGTCCGTGGGTGCTGCATCGATGTTGAGTGGGTTCAGTGGAGCTGGTCGATTCAAGAGTTCTTTGAAGTGTTCTACCCACCTGTTTTGTTGCTCTTCAATGTTGGTGATTACCTCGCCTTCCTTACTTTTCACTGGTCGTTCTGGTTTGCGGCGATTTCCAGAGTTTCTTTGTTATGTCATACAGTTGTCTCATGTTTCATTCTCTTGCAGCCTTTTCCGCCGTCGTTGCTAGATCTTTCACATATTTACGTTTGTCGGTTCTGATGCTCTTCTTCACTTGTTTGTTTACTACTGTGTATTCAGCTTGTGCCTTGGCTTTCTCTGCTCTTGTTCGACTGGTATTGATTGCTGCCTTTTTGTTCCTCCTTTCTTGAATCTTATCCAGTGTATCAGCAGTGATCCATTCCTTGTGGTGGTGCTTCTTGTGACCCAGGACCTCATGACATGTTGAAGTGATGGCCTCTTTGATCCCCTTCCAGTTGCTCTCCACAGTAGTTCCTTCTTCATTGAGTAGATCATGAAAGGCCTGGAACTTGTTGCTGAGGACTATCTTGAATTTGTTGAGTTTGTTAGTATCCTGAAGAAAGGCCGTACTGAACTTTTGCGATATTGTCAGCCCCATTGTCCAGTGCTTCTTGAGTTTTCAATTTCATCTTGGCGACCAGCAAGTGATGATCTGATGCTATATCGGCTCCTCTCTTGGTTCTCACGTCCTATATAGTCCTCCTGAACGTTTTGTTGATGCAAATATGGTCGATTTGGTTTTGCGTGGTGTGATCCGGTGAAGTCCATGTGGTTTTGTGAATGCGTTTATGTGGGAATATGGTGCCGCCTATGACCAGTTTATTGAAGGCACATAGGTTTGCAAATCTCTCACCATTTTCGTTCCTTTCTCCCAGTCCGTGTCCTCCCATGATGTCTTCATATCCAGTGTTGTCCGTTCAAACCTTGGCGTTGAAATCTCTCATCAGAATGGTCAGGTCCTTTGTTTGGCACTTCTCGACGATTGACTGCAGCCTATTGTAGAATTGGTCTTTAGCGTCTTCATTGTAGTCGTTGGTAGGCGCATAGCATTGGATGATATTCATTGTAATGCCCTCCTTTTTTGTTTTGAACGAGGCTTTGATGATCCTTGGTCCATGAGGTTCCCATCCTGTAAGCGCATTTCGCGCTTGTTTGGACAGCATCAATGCAACTCCTTGTATATGTGGAGCATTTTCTTCTTCATGGCCGGAGTATAACACAAGCTCTCCTGAAGTTGTTGTTCAACTTGCGTCCAATGTGTTTCACTGATCCCGAGCACCTCTAGGTTGTATCTTCTCATTTCTGCAGCAATTTGGAAGGCTCTTCCGGTGTCCCACATTGTACGAACATTCCATGTACCTAAATAAATGGTCGCTCTGGTTGTCAGAAGGGGCATCGACCTCGTAACTTCCGAAGGAACTCGGCTTTCATCATGAGGCATCATAGTTCTTCTAAATGAAGACCTTCTGATTCCCAGGGCAGAGTTTAAAAGGTTTGAATAAATTTTTCTGGTTAGCGTTTTTTTAGCGAGTTCGTTTTCTACGGGATGGGGACGCTAACCCCATTTCCAACGGTTCTCCTTTATCCGGGCTTGGGATCGAGAGTAGCCCGAGAGGGGCTCCAGGCAGATCATGTGAATACCATGTTTTAAGGTAAACTTCGTACATGAAAATCGTGAATCCGATTGAAATTATTTCAACTCAATTCTAATTTGTGAGATAGATGCACAAATTCAAAAGACAGGTTCACATATCAGTGCACGAACAAGTACAGTCAAACAGGGATAATTAGACCATCGGTTCTATTTGAAAAACTAGGTAGGTTAATATCTTGTGGTGGTCGGTATTCAATATAATCATTAAACTTCGTATACAGTTCGTCTTGATAACCGTCACCCCAACGGTATATTGATCAGAAGGCGAATACGAAGTTTTGATTATGTTTAATATGGGACCACACACAAATATCCAAAATTACAGGTGCGTTAAACAAGCATGAAAGATTTGTGCGGAAAGGCAAGCGAGCGAGTGAGTCAGCGAATATGAGTACGAGTAAGCAAGTACATTTAAGCGAGAGAGAGCAATGAACATGAATAACATGGACATATATATACATAGTGAAATGAATGAATCATCGAATCAATTAAGTGGTTTGTAGTAAAGCTAGCAGCGTGAATAAATGCGTAGGCAGTAAGCAATGCTCAAGCATACATGTTCATACATTCGCAACAATAATAAAGATATAATGATATAGATAAGTGTTGCTGTACCGATGACTCAGTTCGTTAATAAGTTAACAAAATGACTTAACCGAATTAAATATGAACCAACTCAGTTGCGCGTGGGTTGTTATAATCTCATCTCTTCAGACACCTGGGGTGATTAGCCAAATTCCCGCCCTTTTCGAGGCAGTCATACTCACACCTGGCTTAGAGTAACTGTTTCGTTGATCAACCTAAACACCTATTACGTGAAGGCTAGCATAGACTTTCATTTTTCTTTGTTGTTGCGTATTACCATTATTAACAATCTTTGTGTAGACATTTTGATAACCTACATTTAAGTTATTTTTATGTCAATTTATATGGAAGAATATATCGTATTTACACTAAAAATGCCAGAAGTTACCTAAAGCTGAGGATATGTTTATATTAGGTGAGCCTATTTGATGATCCTACTGGGATAGTAGACAAGTGGTTATCGAAGCCAAGTTTTTACAGATGAATAAACTGGAAATGGGTTTAACTCATCTATAGTTGTTTAAAGAGTTCACATATTGACGATAGTGAATGTGACTGATTATGGGGGAAGACGAAGTAAAACGGAATAAATCCGGAGGCATTGCCGCCTCCTCGGAACACATGATCACCAGTACTCGAACTAACCGTAATAAAGCAACAGTACAGTAAAAAGATAATGCTTGATATGGAAGTTGCTATAATAAAATTTATGGGGCAAGTTTAAACCGGTGTTACAGTATAAAGATCCGATGGACAGAATCAATTCGAAAGAAAATAGACTATTTGAAGTTAAAGAAGTGATTTTCCCACTTTTTATGCCTGTCATTGATCTCTGATGGTTCATAAAGTACAGGGTTAAGACCTAGACTGTGTTTTAACGCAATCTATTTATCGTAGCATACATCTAGATTCAAACAAATCATTGATACTGAAGATACCAAGTATGTGCACTAAGTCAAGTAATGACGACAAGAAACAAGAATGAAAATATCACAACTAAGGGCTACGCTTCTTTCATGGAAAAGTGTATTTTGTACATTTCATAAAAAATCACACTGACGATCTCAATTCAAAATTGACAAGTCTTCGAAGTAGCTCGCGATTGGATGCAGTAACGCGATCAATTTCTTGTCTTAAAACTTTATGCTCTTCACTTCCCAAGCTGTCAAGTTTTATTTGGCTAATACCTGAAACAGGGTAAAAATCATCCATAAAGATGCTTGCTTCTTCTGATGAAAAATTCGACCTCTGTAAAAGAAAACAATACAGAATGAAAAAAAAGTGATGCATGTATATATTTAAAAATGAAGTTTTCTAAACTACAAAATACAATATGAAGGGTTATCATAGTGTATAGATGATTACTCCACATATCTTACATAGAAATGAGACAATTATTCTTATTACCACTATTACTATTACACATATGTTTATAAAAAACACTAATGAGATGTGGCAACTCGGACCGATGCATATATGAACCTGGTCCTATGTTGTAGCTGACTGACTGATAAAGATTATATATTTTCACAAGGTGAGTGTGAAGACGAAACGTCCTTTGTCGCTAACCAGTGAATAAATAAGGAGACGGCTGAACAACACGTTTCAAAGAAGAACTGTTTAGTAGTACGTACTACATGAAAATCCACAAATTTATTGACATAGTATGTATGTGAAGGAAAAAATGACCGAACCACTTGGATGAACAAGTAAAAACATGTCATAAATCTTTAATTTTATGGCTAGCAAATTTTTAGGCTATGGGTTTTACCACAGCTTTAGCACATGAAGATTAGTAATCAGTCCTTTGTTTGTTGAACACAAGAATGATATGTTTCACAGACTACAGTTCAATAAAATCAAAACTAGAAAAAGGAGACTTCAACTTTACGTGACTCCCGTTTGACGATTCATCAAATTAAAGACAAACTATAGTGAAAAGTATGAAATATTGTACTTTACAACCACTATAATTAGATGTAATAGTTCAAAAGTAATATTGTGATTAGAGATGTGGACTCGTTGTTTGCTTTATAACCATTTTGATACTTTATTATATGAATTATTTGGTTAACAATTAATTTGTATTTCTGGGTATCGTAACAGTTCCACATACCTGCTCTACATTCGTAGTTAATGCGCCAGTCATTCTGTCCGCTGAAATTTATCTTGGCAGAAATTTTGAAATAGGTTACGAGTCTAATACCTGTTTGTTCGGCTATATCGTTCAATCACCGATTATCCGATTTTATTGGCTAATCCTAACGTTAAAACGGAAAGGTAGAAATATATCGCTATTCTACTACTAGATAGCTTGTTGCCCACCGAATTGTGTTTTTAAGAGGAAATACAGTAATTTAAACTTACCTCTGCTAATTCAGATATGCGGACACACACTGTATCATCAAGCCTCCAACCAAAGTGGGATTTGAATGGTTCAATAAAACATGTCCGAGGATTAGAAGAGTTCAAACCTCCATTTTGATCTGTATAAAGATCGGAATTGGATGAAGTTTTAGCATCAACTGATTCTATTCCAACTGTATTAGATAACCAATCAGGGCGAGGTATTAAACATAAACCTGTCAAACAAGTATTTGTTGAATCGTTGGTTATAGACGGATTGAACACTGAGAACCGCTGTATGCAAGTGAGTAACGAGTCAGGTCTTAGTATTTCAATTAGCCCAAAGCGCGCACCTACCACTAACATTTCACAATTCGGATCCATCGCCATCATAATTATTGCTTTTTGTGAAGCTGAAAAACTGAAGAATGAGAAAATCGTTAACTTAATTCGGTTGAAGAGCTTATAGAAAGCACGTGTAACAATTTCTCAAAACTTAGCGGCATTCTAACCACTTGACTGTGGTGCCATGAACTAATAAACGAAACCAATAGCGGGATACTGTGCACAGATCGACCGATCTCGTTAACAACATTACTGATACCAACAAGGATTTCAAGTTCATAAGATTAATATCGAGGACATAAGTGATTTGCTGTGATGCGATGGAATTATTTAGATACTCCTTAGTTTATTCTTATGATAGCTTAAGAATAATAAATCCTATTGACTGAGATCATGAGTCAATCGATGTCAGACCACCACAGAAGACCTTAACGGTCCCATACTATGACGAAATGGTCGTCCAGTGCTTCCAGGTTTTTAATGGTGGTCCAACATCAATCGATTAGTGATCTCAATCAAAAACTTAATCTCCACAACCCCATACTAATAAACTCCTATTGGTTGGTCAACTAACCCCAAGTATATGTACGTTAAATAGCATCAAAAGCCCGTTCAGTGATCCGAAGAAGTCTTTGATATTTCCTAGGTAATTCAAACATTACACTAGTGGAAGGTCTGAAATAGTTCCCGAATGTTAATAAATTGGTATACGTACTTTGTCAAATGTATAAATAAACGTATGTCAAGAGTTCGGTAGATAACATCCAATATGAAGCATGTTTCTTAAAACTCGTAGATTAAGTCAGTTGGTTTTTTGGGTTAACAGCTTAGCTACGTGACTTAACGATGTCGGGTGATTAACCTTTTGCCAACTCCTTCCAAGTAACCAATACTGACCCCATCAACAGTTGACTTTTGATATAGCTTGGAGTGATTTGGGGTTTAAATCGTACAGATAGTTGAGAAGAAATGTGAGGATAATAGAGTCCCTGAATTCCTATTCAGAGAAATGAGTGGTAGAAAAACCAGTTTTAAAGACTATAAGTTGCCCTAACCTATCACTGTTCGTCGCTAGTACCAATGTCCTTCCATAAACATGAGAAATGACTCAACTACCACCTATAAAATACCCACGCATGAAAGGGCTCAAGATGTTTCTTTGGCTTCTTGAATGTCTAACACCAATCCAATATCTATTTTAGGAATGTCGAGGTCAGCGGTGAAGTTTGAAAACGTAACTTGCCTACACGATCTTAGCAACAACAAATGTCTTTTATCAACTAATAGTTTTATCTACCATTCTCGTATTCTCTGAGTTCGCTACTTCTTGTTGTTAATGATGTTATTATTATTCTGAGAGTCTGTACAACTTAGTTTTCAACTTGTACTAATGACTTCATCCACGAAGTATGATTCATTATTTTTGAGGTAACGCTACCGACTGGGTGTTGAAGCTTTCCATATCCGATCGATATCAAATTTGACTGAAGGAACCGCTAATTAAATTTTTAGAGCTTTTACTGTGTAATCTTAGAAAGAAGTATATGAAGTTATCCACTAAAATACAATTGGTTGATTTGGGGAAGCCGTTCAGTGTAATCTATGAGTGATCGGTAATTCAGTAGCTAGGTCTGATGGGCTTGGAGAAGACTGAACTTAGATCATACAAGGATCTTTGTCAGTCTGAGTGGGGGCAAAAACAAACATCGGAAAGTCATTATAGTAGTTAGTTGGGAGATGGTAATATTAAGTTCATTCAAGGAAAAATGACCTAAGTAGTTATTTAAGGATGACTACTGCTACTGTAATTCAATCGGTATAAACTCGAAACAAACTGCTTCGAGGAAAATGACAGGAGAACCTTATGGAACCTTCTTCGATGCTATAGTGTGCCCCAGAAGGTTGAAAACATCACACGGAATTCATACGACGGACTACGCTGCAAAGTAGTGCATGAAGAACAGCTGACAGATGTATTCCAAGTGAAGTTTAGTGTCGGACAAGGCTGCTCACTCTTTATCTTATGGTGGTCGATTAGATTATAAAGACCTACACATTTCAAGGGAAGCACGGAATACAGTGGACAACTTGCATGCAACTAGATGATTTGGACTTCGCAGATGACCTAGCTCTTCTATCCCATAAACACCAACAAATGCAGGCGAAGACAACCAGTGTAGCAGCAGCCTCTGCAGCAATAGGCCTTAACATAAAAGGTTAACTAGACTGAAAATCTATACAATCAACTGAGTACTCTAACCCCTACGTCTTTAAATAATCAAAGCTGGTGTAAAGCTAAACTGGTGGATATAGCACACCAATTTCATAATGTTGGACCAAAGCAGAGAAGCATATTAACTTCTCAGCATTTTAAATCATTAAAAGAACTACGAACAAACCCTGATATTGTCTTGTTAAAGCCTGATAAAGGATCAGGCGTAGTTATCATGAATAAATGTGAATATAAAAGTAAGATGTTATCCATCCTCAGTGATGAAAGTAAATTTATGCCTGATGTTGAATTTGGAGGTATTGGCAAACTAGAGGGAAGAGTAAATTCAAACCTAGAAAAATTGCTACACATGAATATTATTAATAAAGAGGAATTTAATTTTCTAAAACCTATGGGTTCCGAGTACCCTCATTTATATGGACTACCTAAAATTCACAAACCTAAAGTTACTTTACGTCCAATCCTATCAATGTGCAGATAACCTACACATAACCTGACTAAACGGTTAACAAAGTTGTTGGACCCTATTCGAAGACATCTATGTAAGTATTCTCTAAAGGATTCTTTTGAACTGGTCGATCATTTAGGTGATATTAATATCAAGGAAAAGACAATGTGTTCATTTGATGTGAATTCCTTGTTTACAAATGTACCTTTGAAAAAAATCATTGATATATTATGTGATTACATATCTGTAAACAATCTTAAATTATGTGTCCCCTTAAAAATTCTTAAAGATTTATTATTATCATTATGTACTGACAAAATTCAGTTCACTTTTGAAGGTGAATACTTTCGTCAGATTGATGGAGTTGCTATGGGTAGTCCGCTAGGACCATTATTAACAGATGTGTTCATGGCACATGTTGAAAATCAGACTGATGACGTAATCGGAAACATGTCACTTTATAAGAGATATGTGGACGATATCTTAGTTGTTTGTGAGAGAAAAGAGGATATGTATTGTTCATTAAATAAACTTAACACTCTCCAAAACCATATTAGTCTCTCATGTGTAGAGGAGAAGAACGATCAGCTTCCCTTCCTAGATATACTTCTGAGTAGACGAGATGGCTCAGTCAAGCGATCTATTTTCAGAAAACCAACGTGGACTGGTCAATATCTTAGTTATTATAGCTATTACCCTGTGCAATACAAACGTGGTTTGATAGTGTCTTTTCAACAGACTCGATCGTATTTGTACAAACAACGCCATTGACGATTATGTTAATTTGTTAAATAAAACGTTAATAGAAAATGACTACCCTCTGAAATTCATAAATAGATGGAAAGTCCATGGTACAGCGAGACCTACTGTAGCCTCGGTAGAGAAAAAAGCCTGTCTACATCACCTTACCATTCAGAGGTGATTCAAATAGCCTTTTATTGAAACAAAGACTTAAATCAGTCATCAATAAAACGTATTGCGCAGCAAAGGTCATCATCAAAAAAAGAACAACGTGCATGCTTCATTCAAAACCTAAAAGACATGAAAACGATTGTGTCACACCCCACTGTGTTTACCAATTTAAATGTGTGTGTAGTCACATATACATAGGGAGGAGCAATCGTGATCACAACATTAGGGTGAGTGAACATGTACCCAAATGGCTGCAGAAACAAATACAATCAGGTGGCTGAATAAGAGCAGAGGATAAACATCCATCATCCTCTATTGCTAAACATATAATTGAAACAGGTCACAAGATTTAAGAATATATTTTCACATATTGAAATCATGAGTCAGTTGAAGCTAGACTGCCATTGAAAATCTGGAAGCACTGGACGGCCGTTTCGTCCTAGTGCGGGACTCCTCAGCAGTGCGCATCCACGACCCCGCACCACCCGGGGCTCGAGCCCGGGACCTACTGGCTTCGCGCGCGAGCACTTAACCATTAAACCACTATGCCGGCGTACAACGGTGTTAATGTCTAACTTCAACCAATCCACGAAGTTGCGCTACCGTACACCATTGTCTTCAGTGAGTTCCTATCTCACAACAGACCTGGTTGAACTCCACTGGTAATGACTTCTCACTAGAACTCCAGAAGTGTCTCCTGAAGTCAGTCACTAGTGAGCAGGTGATTATTATTATCAGAATGTGTTTTGTGGAGATTTTAGAAATTTTCACAGATTGGAATCATGAGTCAGTTGAAGAATATATTTGTAAAATCTCAGCGAATGAATTTTTAAGTAAATCCAACGTTTCGCCTGGCAATCTGGTCCAAGCTTTTTCAAGGAAAATATTTCCAGGTGAGACGTTGGATTTACTTAAAAATTCATTCACTGAGATTTTACAAATATATTCTTCTTTTTAATGTCTCAAATGAACTCGGCGCCCAAATATTGTGAAACTATTCGTTCAAATTTAGACGAAAGTTCTTATTTAGGTCACAAGATTGATCTAAACTCAGCATTTGTGGTATTGTATAAAAGTGTAAAAGGGCGTATACTAAGGTTTATTGAAGCCTTAGCCATACGAAAATTCAAACCCCCTTTGTGTGTTCAAAAACAGTTTGTTCTTACCTTAAACCTACCCTGGTAATATTGACTTATTATCCAGAGTGATTAGGTTACGGATTGTGTTCATATTATTATTATTATTACTCTTATCATTATCCTTATCTCCTCTTACCCCGTTTCCAGTCTAGTTGACCTTTTATTTTTATATATAAATGCTCCTAACAAGTACATGTGTGATCAGATTGTTCGAAATGTATTGCGCTAATATATCACATAGTTCTGATAATCTTCGTCTTCTAATTACATTATCGAAATTTATAAAAGGGACTAATTGTTTTAAACATCTTAATCACTTCAGTTGAAGATTTACTACCTTATTAATTGACTTGTCATGCTTACCTAGTACCGTATGACCAACCTCGTGGTCGCTCACTCGGTGATCCAAAATACACAAGCGATGCTTTGAAGACACTTATGATCGAATACTAGTAACCTACGAATATCCTCTATCGTTAACAACCATGTTTCACATTTACAAAGTAGAATGGAGGTAACTGTTGTGCAGTAAAGTCGTCCTTTGGTGGGAAGACAGATATCTCGCCTACGCCACAAGTGACACAGGTTGGCTGAATCCAATCGAGCTTTCTTAATCCCCGCCGAGGTTTGGTCGGACAACAGAGCATCAGGACTAATGAACATCCAAAGATAAATTAGGAGGTCGATACAGTAAATTACTTCACTCCCTATCCTCAACACAGGCAACTCCTGAAGCAAATTTTCGTATTTGGAGAGAGAGAGTCGAATCTTAAACATGCTTGCATTGTTGCTTAAGTTATTCAGAGGACTACTTTTTCATGGTCTTCACTGAACAGAACTACATCATTTGCATATTCTAAATCAACAAGAGAATCTCCTGAAAGAAGATCGATTCCCGATAAGTAAGCATGATCAGAGTTAAAATATTTGCTCCGAAACGGGTGGTAGTCTTCTATATAGGCTTTTCAACGATGGTTGATGGCAATGTAGTCTAGTTAATTTCACTGTTGGGTTGCCATGTCAGACAATATTTCCCCTTATGTTTGAAGTTAGTGGTTGCTAGAAATAAACGGTAATCTGAGGAAATTTGCAGCAGACTGTTGCCACTAACTATCTGCTGGGTCAAGAAATACCAAAAGATCAACCTAAGTGCCTTTCAGTTTGGTCTAGACTACCTGGTTGGACATGAAAGTCATCAACCACTATTATTACACTTGAGCGTTCAGCTTTTTGAAGGACGGTAAGTTTACATAAAATCAATTTTCTATTTCATCCCAACTGCAATCAGTGGGAGGGTAGGAAATTGCGTGTCTCCCTGTTTTTCAGACCTTTCACTGTCCCATTTAGTCGTTCAATGCACACATGACTGTCTATTGAAAAATTTTACAACTGGTTGATTCTTTTCTATTCTCGACCTAAATGAGTATCTGTTATTTTAAAATCCTCCGTTTGACTTTTTTCTGCTGTAAAGCATGGCAACTTGAACCGGTATTTTTAACACTGAAAAACTACTATGTCATATCAGTTAAATAAATTAAAACCACATTCTAAGTTATGCAAATATTAGGTATAGCGATTGTCATTACAATGCAAACTTTTTGAAAATAGCATTATTTTAATGAACTTAAAATTAATCAAAATAAGTAAGGAATATATATCCTAAAAGGCTATAAATTAAAAATTGAATGACGTATATTAGGATAAGTACCTATAAGTGACTAAGACATATTGGTGATTACGGTAAGTTCTTTGGCAACAGGGCAGCATTACACTGTCTACCGACGAACTCTTATGAAGACTACGAATTTACACAGAACTTAGTTCATGAACTCACTATTAATCACCTTTTCCCACCTAACAACGAGTACAAGCACACAACTTTACAAAACGTATATCAGTTTTACATTGGCATGAACACAAAGAAGGTATTATTGCATGACCAGAAAACGAAACAGAAAGTAAATATGTAATTCAAAAACTACATACATGCATATGTACTAGGCTACAACCCACACTTAATGTATAATGATGGGGCTTCACTAACTTCCTATCTAAACAAATTTAGGTAAACTGAATTCAGACTTTTGACCCAATAACTACAAGTTCATGTAGTCCAGTTAATGATTCATATTCTAACAGAGAAAGACAATCAAAACAAACATCACATGATATAAAGTTTTGCATTTGATGATTTCACGAGGTACTAACAATATTGAGATACATGAACACGAATTAATTTGTGTAGAAAAAAAAACGCTTACCTGGAGTCAGAGAAACAACGATGTATTTCCTTATCTGCAGAATAACAACCCTATTAAGAAAAAAAAACATTAGGAATGTAAGTCATTCACTACCTAGAACCATACCTCAGCTGGGATTAAATCTTACTGATCGTAAGTCTATCAAGAAAATAAATGCATATAAGTTTTACACTGAATGTAATCAAGATGTAAAATCTGAGGTAATACAACCGGTAGTAACTGAGATACCCAAGTGTCGACTAGTGAAGTTATGAGCCAGAAAATCTAAACACTGTTTATCTGCAGTTTAAAGCTAAGGCCAAAACTGCATTAGCTGAATGACCACAGAACAACGTAACGTTAGGAATACCTAGTTAGGTATTCATAGCAGGATGTACTTGTACAAGGCTTGGATAGCCAAAACTGAAAAATGCATGAAAACGTTTGTTGGACTTTTTGAGAAATAAAATTATCTTTCACATATCTTAATAAATTACAATCCATAAGAAAAACTCATTATCATCGTATTTCTATAATCAGAATAAATCCCAAGACAAGCTGAGGCAATACTTATTACAAACCTGGAAAATGATAAATATCGACTGAAGCTAGAGATCGATTACAGAGAGCGAATTGTAGAACTGATGACTTGAGAATGACAACATAATACATATGAACAAAATTTTACCCGTCAATGTAGTGTATTAATAACATTTTAATAAAACGATTTAGACTACTCACAAGTAGCCCGAAAAATATTGAAAAATAAAACCATGTGAGGAAATAGTAGTTATGACAACGGATCGATAGTTACCTATCTTACCCTTTGAGATTGTATATAAGCAGTGTATAGTAAACCATCATTCCCACCACAAAACAGATTTCCATTGTTGTCAGGTGAAGGACAAAGGCTTAACAGCCCACCAGAAACGTTTGTGAGTAATGATCCAAGAATACAACCATCATACAAAGCATATATCTGCAAAAAGAAATAAGACCAATAATTATTCCAATTGTCTACCAAAAAGCATATGCTAAGCAGATATGCAGTGGATTAGAATGATAACTCAACTAGTTGTCATGATTTTTGGTGCAGATACTTTTTAAACTTATTAACAGTCGGTTTCCTTACTAGTTTTATTTATGGTAGATTGAACTCTTCATGATGAAAAGTATATGACACGACTTCTAATCAAGCAAACACGGTTTTAAAGGTTAGCCTATTTCTGGTTGGCAATAAGCATCGGCAATTTTTACAGGTGTACCACCTGACGTCCTTCCTCTGCATTTCAAACCTGGACTCAAACTGATCACATCACGATCAGCTACAATTGATGCGGGTATGTACAACACTGCCGCTCCTTTTGGATTACTTATCTGGGCTCTGGTCATGCCCTTGTTTGAGTTAATCTTATTTCACGTTTCAGTGGCCAACAAATCCATAGCCCTAAACGGATAGATGTCAGCGAATTGGTTAAAGTTTCTGTTGCGACTAAATATCAAACCGGGCTAGGTTCAAAGCTAATTATCAACCCACCTAAAAGTATAGATATACACTGGTTGCACATGCATGTCATTATGAAAACGACGAGTACAGTTGCTTACAGCTTCGTGAAACTTCCCGCTTATAAGCAGTGGGTTTCTGCAGGCTCCTTAAAATTAATTGCGGGATGTCAGCCTACTCCGGTTAACCGTCAGTTTGACGATAAACGCAGGCTCTTACCTAATGAAGCTGTGCAAAGTTTGTGCAACATTCGAGCAGCAGGGCTTCCAAACCTCATTACTCATCTTCGACTTTACCATCGATAACGCCCTAAAAACAGCCCCGATGGATGTAGGTAATGGTGGTGAGGATCTGTTGTGTGGAGAAAAACTTTCTGACCTTGAGTATCCTGATGACATTGTCTTACTGCGCGATGATACCAAAACTACCCAATCCACACTTAGTCAGTTGCCAATCAGTATCCGTAGTTATGGCATTTGATTTGCACCTCCCAATTGCAAAGTACTCTGACAAGATTAACAGGACTCGATGCCTACACTTTTGGTAGTGAGCAGTTAGAAGTAGTTGAGAAGTCCGTGTATATGGGTAGTTGTGTAAGTGCTGGTGGTGACGTGAGTAATGAGACCGATTCATCTATAGTAAAATCCAGAGTATCTTATGCTAATCTAGGTCATGCTTGGTGCCTTTGTTATGTTAGCCTGGCTGTAAAAGTTCGGATTTACAACGCGTAGGTGAAAGCAGTTTTGCTATATGCTTGTGAAGCCTAGCCTCTCTGAGTTGATGTTGGACGACTCTGTGTTTGATCAACATTTTCTTCGAAGGATTGCTGACACCGAGTGACAACATCATGCTAGTAATGAGGAGGTTCGAAAACATGTGTTCGGGCACCATCTTGAAACACCGACTTCGGTGGCTTGGGCATGTCCTACGAATGTCGTCCGATGAAATTTCACATCATGCATCATTTGCCGACACTAGGACTGTTTGAAAAAGCAGAGAGGTGGTCAGTATTGATATAGTGTGAAAGAGAGCTGTACATGACTGGGGTCTTTTGGTCTTTCACCACTCCCTGGTTGGGGTCCTGGAGATAGTCCAGGATAGTGGTTAGAAACTTTATCAGAAATGGCTGTAACTTTCTTCATAAACGTGCTAGTCATTTCTTTAAATAAAAGAATTCTATCTGGTTGCATTTTTCTCAACTGAACCGTTATTCTCATTATTTCACTCCCATACACTAAGTCCTATTCATTTTATTTTTTTTATGTTCACTTTCCTTTTTCCATCTCGTTACCTCATTTTTACTGTAAGGTGTACATAGATTCTGGTGCCCCCTTGTATCAACGTTTGTGTTTAAAATAAATAAGTAACGCTGAATGGACGGTCAAAACAAGCAGAATCTTCTGACTTCTATTCGTCAATGACGGAGGTTTCATAATCTAGAAATGTTTACTTTCTTAGAGTAACTTAAATTCGTAAACAAGTGCTTTTGTGTACGTCAGTCCTGATTGACATCCAAACTGACAAACAAATCTAGATCCAGTATTACGCTTTATGAAGAAAATGACACCTAATGACAGTGAAGTAGTAAAAATTGTCCGCAATGGAGCTGACCTCACTAATAAAGTGATACATTTGACGTTGATGATTATGTAAGTAAATGTTAACTTCCTTAATAAATGGGTGTCAATATCTTGGTTGCAAACACTGGTATTTCTGTGACTCGCCTGACGCATCATTTGTCTTCATGGGACACTAAGAAAACAGTTTGCTCCCCTCCGCTGCACAGTTACATAAAACTTATGATGACGAATGAAATACGTCATTGTTTGGATAAGTTCCTGCGTTATTAAGAGATAAATACCAACTTACCTTAAGACCTTGTGATCCACCCACGACAACTATATCATCCATAACTGCACATATAGGATGACTAGTACTTGCTTGAATAACATACCAGAGCGGAAGATGTTTGGCACTTGATAGATTGGCATTTGAGTGAGACTCAACTTCAATAACACTCTGTGTACTCATCATGTTTAGTCCGTTGATAAGACTCCCCAAGGACCAACAAGCTAGAAACCCAGATATATCAGCGGAAACAAGAAACGCTGGCCCGTTTGAATTCCATTTGGATAGTTTCATTTCACATATTCTTGCAGAATGGGATCCTTCTAAAACACCCATAAGGCATCCACTCACAGTCTTCAAAAGTTATAGTTAATGTATTAACCTACCTGGTATACATAAATTTCCCGATCAAATGCAACGATAATATAATTTCCATCGGGGGTGAAAACAAAAGCATTAACTAATCCTTTCGTCAAAATATTTTTGTGCGCTGAGGTCTAGTAAATACATATAAACAAGAAAAGAATAGATTACAGCACTATTAAAATTCCAAGTCTGTATAATAGGTTTCCTGGCAGCTGCACAAGCTACACCTCCGAAGTACCCGGTGATAGACGATTTCAAAGCCATATCACCAGATAAACTAGCGACTGGGTTTCCTCCTAAAGGATCCCAGACAATTGCGGCATCAACCTGTTTTTCAGTTGTGGTAGTAACCAAAAGCGAATTCATAGCTCAGAATCTAATGAGCTTACACAAGAACGGTATTATTGAGGTCTGTAGAATAGAAATAAAAGAAGAATCTTATTATGATGTTTTCGGGGACATACAGAAACTAAGGCTGGTATCACTAACTGGGTATTTTAACAAATAATCAAGTAATACAGTCACTTACACAGACGTACTTAATTTATTTTCGTTACAGATTAAACTACATTACGTACTTACAAATAATTATGAGTTCAAATGAACCTTGCATTCAATTTAAAAACCATATCGGTTGAAGAGGCTCCATGATCAATGACATTTGTTGAGAGCTGAGTGATAATAACAGTAGTTGGTATGAAGGGCGAAAATCTAATTTAATGTGATCATATGTTAACCGATCACATTATTTCTAGTCTTAATTCCAGTACTGTGAATACTTACTTACTTACTTACGCCTGTTACTCCCAATGGAGCATAGGCCAACGACCAGCATTCTCTATCCCACTCTGTCCTGGGCCTCCTTTTCTAATTCCATCCAATTCTTGTTCATCTTTTTCATGTCTATTTCCATTTCTCGGCGTAATGTGTTCTTTGGTCTTCTTCTTTTCCTTTGGCCTTGAGGATTCCATGTGAGGGCTTGTCTTGTGACGCAGTTGGGTGCTTTCCTCAATGTGTGTCCTATCCACTTCCAGCGCTTCTTCTTGATTTCTTCCTCCTCTGGTATCTGGTTTGTTCTTTCCCATAATAGGTTGTTTCTAATAGTGTCTGGCCAACAGATCCGAAGTACTTTGTGTAGATAACGGTTAATAAACACCTGTATCTTCTGGATGATGATTTTCGGAGTTCTCCAGGTTTCCGTCCCATACAGTAGAACTGTCTTGACATTTGTATTGAAAATCCTGACCTTAGTGTTGGTTGACAGTTGTTTTGAGTTCCAGATAATCTTCAGTTGTAAATATGCTGCTCCTGCTTTGCCGATCCGCGCATTCACATCTGCATCAGATCCACCCTGTTCATCAATGATGCTGTTCAGATATGTAAAGGTTTTTACATCTTCCAGATCTTCTCCGTCAAGTGTGATTCGATTGTTGCATGCTGTGTTTTATCAAAGAATCTTGCTCTTCCCTTTGTGTATGTTGAGACCTACTGGTGCTGAGGCTGCTGCTACACTGTTCGTCTTCTCCTGCACTTGTTGTTGCGTGTGTGATAGAAGGGCCAGATCATCTGCAAAGTCTAGATCGTCCAACTGCATCCTAGATGTCCATTGTATCCCGTGCTTCCCTTCAGATGTTGACGTCTTCATGATCCAGTCGATCACCAGGAGAAAGAGGAGGGGTGAGAGTAAGCAACCTTGCCTAACACCGGTCTTCACTTCGAACGATTTTGTCAACTGTCCTCCATGCACGATTTTGCAGTGTAATCCATCATATGAACTCTGTATGATATTGACTATCTTCTGAGGCACGCCGTAGTGTCGAAGAAGCTTCCATAGTGTTGTTCTGTCCACGCTATCAAATGCCTTTTCGTAGTCAATGAAGTTGATGTAGAGTGATGAATTCCATTCAATCGATTGTTCCACAATGATCCGTAGAGTTGCGATTTGGTCTGTACACAATTGATACTTACGGAATTCAGCCTGTTGATCTCGAAGTTGGGCGTCTACGGTGTCCTTCATTCTGTTTGACAATACCCTGTTGAAGACTTTTCCTGGTATTGAGAGAAGAGTAATGCCTCTGTAGTTATCACAGTTGCTGAGATCGCCTTTCCTCGATATTTTGGTCAGAAGGCCTTCTTTCCAGTCTCTTGGTACTTGTTCTTCATCCCAAATCCTGCTGAAGAGGATATGGAGTGCCCTTGCAGTTACTGCTACATCTGCTTTCAGTGCCTCTGCTGGAATGTTTTCTGGTCCTGCTGCTTTGCCACTCTTGATTTGTCTGATGGCCATGCTGGTTTCTTCAATTGTTGGTGGGCCAACGTTGATTGGGAGGTCCGTGGGTGCTGCATCGATGTTGAGTGGGTTCAGTGGAGCTGGTCGATTCAAGAGTTCTTTGAAGTGTTCTACTCACCTGTTTTGTTGCTCTTCAATGTTGGTGATTACCTCGCCTTCCTTACTTTTCACTGGTCGTTCTGGTTTGCGGCGATTTCCAGAGTTTCTTTGTTATGTCATACAGTTGTCTCATGTTTCATTCTCTTGCAGCCTTTTCCGCCGTCGTTGCTAGATCTTTCACATATTTACGTTTGTCGGTTCTGATGCTCTTCTTCACTTGTTTGTTTACTACTGTGTATTCAGCTTGTGCCTTGGCTTTCTCTGCTCTTGTTCGACTGGTATTGATTGCTGCCTTTTTGTTCCTCCTTTCTTGAATCTTATCCAGTGTATCAGCAGTGATCCATTCCTTGTGGTGGTGCTTCTTGTGACCCAGGACCTCATGACATGTTGAAGTGATGGCCTCTTTGATCCCCTTCCAGTTGCTCTCCACAGTAGTTCCTTCTTCATTGAGTAGATCATGAAAGGCCTGGAACTTGTTGCTGAGGACTATCTTGAATTTGTTGAGTTTGTTAGTATCCTGAAGAAAGGCCGTACTGAACTTTTGCGATATTGTCAGCCCCATTGTCCAGTGCTTCTTGAGTTTTCAATTTCATCTTGGCGACCAGCAAGTGATGATCTGATGCTATATCGGCTCCTCTCTTGGTTCTCACGTCCTATATAGTCCTCCTGAACGTTTTGTTGATGCAAATATGGTCGATTTGGTTTTGCGTGGTGTGATCCGGTGAAGTCCATGTGGTTTTGTGAATGCGTTTATGTGGGAATATGGTGCCGCCTATGACCAGTTTATTGAAGGCACATAGGTTTGCAAATCTCTCACCATTTTCGTTCCTTTCTCCCAGTCCGTGTCCTCCCATGATGTCTTCATATCCAGTGTTGTCCGTTCAAACCTTGGCGTTGAAATCTCTCATCAGAATGGTCAGGTCCTTTGTTTGGCACTTCTCGACGATTGACTGCAGCCTATTGTAGAATTGGTCTTTAGCGTCTTCATTGTAGTCGTTGGTAGGCGCATAGCATTGGATGATATTCATTGTAATGCCCTCCTTTTTTGTTTTGAACGAGGCTTTGATGATCCTTGGTCCATGAGGTTCCCATCCTGTAAGCGCATTTCGCGCTTGTTTGGACAGCATCAATGCAACTCCTTGTATATGTGGAGCATTTTCTTCTTCATGGCCGGAGTATAACACAAGCTCTCCTGAAGTTGTTGTTCAACTTGCGTCCAATGTGTTTCACTGATCCCGAGCACCTCTAGGTTGTATCTTCTCATTTCTGCAGCAATTTGGAAGGCTCTTCCGGTGTCCCACATTGTACGAACATTCCATGTACCTAAATAAATGGTCGCTCTGGTTGTCAGAAGGGGCATCGACCTCGTAACTTCCGAAGGAACTCGGCTTTCATCATGAGGCATCATAGTTCTTCTAAATGAAGACCTTCTGATTCCCAGGGCAGAGTTTAAAAGGTTTGAATAAATTTTTCTGGTTAGCGTTTTTTTAGCGAGTTCGTTTTCTACGGGATGGGGACGCTAACCCCATTTCCAACGGTTCTCCTTTATCCGGGCTTGGGACCGGCAGTAGCCCCCGAAGGGGGCACACTGGTAAATTTTGAGATATGGTAGTCGTAAGGACGTAAACCTTGCAGATTCAAGATATACCTTAGCAACTAATCGTAGAAATGAAATGCAGTAAATATGGCAAATGTATGCTGCTGACAACTGAGTGACTTATCAGATGGTGAGAAGTGTTTATTTATGTGGAGATTTATAGTGACAAGCAATAAATCTTGACGGATAAACAACTTTGACTTGATTATTGTTTTTAAGTTGAATTATTTGTTACAGTAAACGAGAAAAGGATAGGGTCAACTAATAGTTAAGCAAGAAGGTAAGGTTGGGGTAATGTTAGGATTTCATATTACAGTGAAGAATATTTTCTAGACACACAAACACCCCTGACTATAAAATGAATTAAGGCTAAACAAGTAATTAGGATAGTCTACACCAAAAACATGTTTGTCGAGTAATTCTGCGTACATGCCACATCAAAATTACCGTGTGGTGGCACAACAGATGTTTTTTCAATTCTAAATATCTTAAGAGATAAATACGCAGTATGGGAGTTTAAATCTGAATAGACAGCATAAATGGTCACTGATTAAACAAATTAGTGTGGTGTTTTGGATCCAAAACACTGCCCTTAATTTGTTCTTGAGAATGCGTTGCAGTGGTGTGCGCCGTAACACGCCTAGTCTTGTCAATATTTATGCGCTAGCTTAATCAAGCGTGAGCAACCTATATATATATATATATATATATATATATATATATATATATATATATATATATATATATATATATATATATATATATATATATATATATATCCGTTAACAAATATCTTAAATGTATGGTTCAAGAAGCATATGCTGTGATATTTTTTAAACATTTCGATTATACATGCATATTAAATCAATGTGCTGAGCACTTTCAAAGCATAAAATTCGTTGAGACTGTAATTAATGGACAGAACAATGCAACTAAAGATAGCAAGTTCTGGATTTAGCGCAAAACTCACTCATCCAAACAGTCAAGTACTTTTTTAATTATAGCTGTTTACGGTCCGTGATGAAGGCCCTTACGTGAGTTCCTAATCCCAAGTTCTAACAAGTTCCTCATACAAATTTGTAACCATCTTCTGACCTCAGTAAGTAGTCCCACATTAACGTCGCTAAATTGCCGACCATTAATATATTTACATACATAGGGTCCTGTTCTTTGCAAAGAAAAACATAGGCACTGAAATGGATTTTGAGAAGTTGAAAAATTTGTGCAGACAAGGAGCCGGATTTGTTGAGGCCGTAGTTTCTCCTCAAAAATGGATTATCGAATACCAAGCCACAACTACTTGATTTTCAAAATTACCAACTTTCACAAGGGCCGGTAAATACTCACAATAGTGCATCAAAATAAACAATATATCAATCACAGTCAATGTGTAGCACCTAAATATGTTTTCACCATAAGTAGAAAAATCTGCGACCATATCTAGAATATGGAACGTGTACCCCAAAAAAAATCCTTTTAACTTAGTTTTGGGATCAGGAAGTAGCTTTGCAAATGTATCCAGAATTAATCTTGACTGTGCGCAATGTAGAAATAATAAGGCAGCGCTAAAATATTTCGCGGTACTCACATAATCCTTGTTTTCTGATTTGTCCTTCCCAAGTCTGTAAAACCGCGTTTACTAATGCATGTGACAAAATACTAAAACAAGTCTCATTCGGAACCCTATAAGGTGATTGGAAATCCTGATAATATCAACTAATTATCGCGATAAAGAGAAATGTGATTCTATCTTGAACAACATATGTTATATATGGAGTGGGAATAGATAGAATAACAGCAGTGCTTCACTTTCACTTTGGAAAGGAGAGAAGGTTAGATGGATCATGTTAGTTCTGAAAATTGTGGTTTCTTTGTTCATCCAACTTTCTTCCGAAAGCATAGACAGATGAAGCTTTAACTACGTGTTGAGTTAATGAATCAATTTCGTTGACGATTCGATAGGAAAGTCGATAGTCAGCTGACAAGTAATTTGCTCTGGATTTTTAAAAAATTTTGAAATGTCTTCGTAAAGCCCCCGTTCCGGAAGACAAGCAAAGCGAAGAGATATCAAGTGCAAATTCATCACTGAGCACTTTCAAGAATGTGATGAAGTCGCCTCTATATATGATAATGGAGATAAGTTTAGTTTGGCGAGTAGAGCGTGATAAGGGAGACTTACTATCCTAGGAATCGGTTTGTCTACGGTTTTTTGAACCTTATATAAAAGCTCGCCGTCTCTTTTTGGACAGGGACTAGCCGTTTGTATACAGTACTCGAGTTTAGGACGAACAAATACTGTATGCAAGAAAGAATTAGTTTTAGCATTGACATGGTCAAAGACCACATGTATAAAACATAAGGTTATAAAACCTTTGGCAGCTATCGCACGGCAGTGTGCAGCACATTTTAGGTCTTGGCTAACGATGAGTCTTAAGTCATTGTGTCTGGACAACAGGTAGCTCATCGTTATTCAGCATTCATGTATCTGTACCTTGGTGACCAATATGTATAATAATGTACTTAAAAGCATATGTTAGCATGTACCGAATTTTAGACCTGTCAGATAATTTCTTCGGGTCATTTTTTAGTCCAAACTTGTCACCTTTACACTTTATTGCTCTTCATATCTTGACATCGTCAGCAATTAACAAAACCGACGGTGATAGGAAAGTCATTTACATGTAGGAGGGACAATACTGGCCCTCAAACTGTACCCCGATAACTTTAAGTTCACCCATACTCTTTGTTGACGCTCAACTAGGAAGCACTTTATAAAAAGTAATAAACTGCCCCCAACCCCGACATAACTTACATGACGGCTGGTTGTGAGAAACTGTCAAAAGCCTTGCTAACGTTAACGTTGTCTGCATCTATAAGTTACTATTGATCTTTAAGAGCACACAAGTTACTTATAAATTAACAAGACATAAATAAAATTTTCTAAAGTCATGCTGCTTTTTGAAGAAATCCGGTTCTAGTCTACATATTTAAACAACCCTTCCCGAATAATCTTTTCTCAAATTTTAACAATCAGGCTGATTAAGGTTACGGGTCTCGCACCTGTTTTGAAGATAAGACTTACAATAACATTCTAAGCCTAATCATAAACGTCCTCCACCAGTAATGCATTACTACTGTCTCCTCATAATGCTGTAATATTTCCTCTTCTCTTAATCCTTGGGTTTATGTACTAGTATACGTGTTCAGTGTATTCTATAGATTCCTTAACAAGTTTTTCTTTGTACAACCTTCTAGACTCATGGACGGTCGCGGTACAAATATTTCGACCTTCCCGATGTTGAGGTTTTCTCGTCGATATCTAGTAACTTAAATCTCTACCATATTCTTTACCTCTTACAAAGACGGGTGTGGACCTCTTTACTCAACCACTTCTGAGATTTTCCATAACCCAACAATGTAGTCCAGAGGATTGCGGCGCCGTGACCTTTATGCACAAATTTCTAAATACGTCACGATCCGTTTCAACGTGGGGACTTCGGCTTCGTTGTTCAGTCTACTGAGGATGCTGAGTGTGTAATATCTTGTAAAGTTGCCTTCCATACGTTTGGTCCGACTTAGGCTGACACACTCGTTATTGTCAGTTATATGAAAATCGATTACTAGGACCGCATGGTCATCTTTGCCTAGGGTGGTTATAATGAAGGTCTGTAATGTTATCCTGATAATCGGTCAACATGAAATCTGTTAAGGATGATTCAGAGTCCTGGTAGCACCTAGTTCCCCCCTTTACGTGTTGCACATACTGTGAGATCGTCGATGATTGTCGATGACATAGGTAGTCAGGTTTTAGTTCTGTCCTACTATAAACAAAACCTAACTTTGTTTGTGTCTAGGGAAGAAGTTCATGAGCTGATTTCTTGGCTCGCCTCCAGAAATGATCCACAATATTTCTCTCACTTTAGAAAGAAGGGGGAAGATCGATATTTTACTACTGTCATAAGACTGGACTAGGTGATAAAAAATTAAATGAAAGTTTTCTTTGTCGAACTTGACAAAAAATGAGCCTGAAGGTAATAGGTTCAAGGCTCGCTATCAAACCATTTCTGGTTCCGTTAGCGTACGGTCTCAAAATGTTATGGTGATAAAGGGTTTTTTTTACTATGGAAAGTATAAAATCATGATGACGCCTACACTTTTCTCAAGTTGTGAAGATCCTGAAAGCAAACTTTCGATCTGAATGTAGTACTTAGAATCTCTTACATATGAGCTACGATACACTTTTAAAAGCCTAAAGCAAGTCCATTTTTATCTGATCAGCTTTAAAATCGAGTATGAACCTCATGAGACGTTGAGTTATCACATTTGTTGAATATTCTCTCCAGACTTACTATAATAAGTGGCAGTACTATCTCAGAGGAATCTTTATGAGTAAGACCATCCTTATGGATAAAAAGTGAATATCTTGGTAAAGGATTCAGTGAGACCTCATTAAGATATTCTTTAATTTGATTAAATAAGTAACCCAATCTTATGTCAAACATCTGGTTGTTCAACTATGAAAATAGCCAATCCATCATTAGTGACCTAATGCGCATCAACTTGAGTCTGATGACAGAGCTCATGCGACCACCCATTTCAGCGACATTTGAGAAAATGAGAGATATTACGTCTAAAGTTCTTCTGAGGTCTAAAATGAAGGTGCATATATTCATCGCAGCCAGTAGATTGGTATTTCATAGTGGCCATTCGCAAAACTGAGGCGTTAGGGTGAAGGCAACTTTGTGGATATTATGTACCATGTTGGGATTCATGAACCATGGAATCAAATAATTTTGAGGCCATTGAAAGAAATGTTATAGTCCGGTGATTTTGCGGATTATTGTTCAACCCCCCGTTGGAGTTCAAGGTTAGGTATGCCACTTCCACAGTTCTGGGGCCAAGCCTTAATCTTGGGGATGTGAAACTAGTAAACCGAGTGTTGTTGGAAGTAGAGAGGCCTCTTCTGTCTGTATATTGTCTGATTAAGGAAATATGTTCTTCCTTGGCTTCTGCACTTTGTGACGAACTAATTCATTATTTAGATTTACTCTTGAACTTGCTGCTGCTCTACTTTTGGTTCAAGCAATTTATTCATTTCTTCGGGAAGAACTGGGACGTAGACATATGCGAAAATGATATTTCCATTACCAAACATACATATATCTTTCGTCTCCTCCTCAGCTCCAGTTCTATGTAAGTAGACAAGAAGTCTACTTACTCAATGCCTTCAGACAGGATGATCACTTTCATTTTCACTTCTTTTAGCTCTTCCCAATCGAGTAGCAGGGTTAATGTTACCAGTTTGCTTTTACTTTGTTAAATCCCAAAATTGCAGCTATGCCATGATATGACTACAGACTCCATAAGATTTTATGTGGACGTCACATCATTTCAGTGGCCCGACTGCCAGATGAATTGGCTAGGACCCAATAACATTTCACTGGGCCTACATATACGTACTCGATGTCATCAAATGAACTTTCGACTGATTGAGGGGTTCTGATACGCACTGCTCAGAATTTCTGTTCTTAGAAAGTGGAGTGAGTATCAAAACAATTTGAAAAGGATCAATTTCATAAATGAAATTCTGTTGTGGTTATAAATGTAAACACGTCTACACCTTCCCCGTTGAAGCTTGGTGTAAATGTATTGAAAAGTACCAGAAATTTTAATTTTATTCCCGCTTCTTAGTTCAGCAGTACTGAAAGTCTTTTAGAACTAAATTTACTGATGTTTTTTTCGTAATCTTCATTTTTAAGCATTTAGTTCAGTTGTTTGTAGAGTAGATCACTCCATATGCTAGTTCAAGAAATCGAGTAAAATCATATGTCTTACTGAAATCCCGATTTGTTACTGAAACTAAATTGTTGTGTCTTGTGACTGCAGATTAGATACGGAGCGTATTTATCGATCGGATCAATGACACATACAACACACACGAACGGCCTAGAGTCCTGGTTGGCCCTGCTTTCCTATCTAGCCTAGCAAGCTGAGTCCAGAACACAAGTTTCAGCCTCTGAGTTATGAATCATTATATTTCAGACATACTCTGTTTATATACCAACCAAATAGACCACATCGTGCCATAAAATAGAAAACAACATTTGCACAATATTTAACAAGTTGCATCCAGTAGCTGTACATTCAGAATTCAGTTTTTGAATTCGCTCAAGGATTTAAAATTCTCTGTTTCAATAACGGGTTGATTCTATTTACTTCATAGCCGTTAATTATAGTTACATTCTACCCTCAGTTTCGCCGAAATGACCAATTATGTGCAGTTCTTGAAGTCTGAAAGGACTATGGGGCAT